TTAAGGTCCAGTCACAGGAAAGTGACATTCAGTATCATGGCATTTACAATCATCGACTGTTTTACGTCAAAGACTCACAGTGGGAAAAAGTTTAAAGTCTTAGTTTAAAAAATAAAATCTTTAAACCAGTAAATCTTTGGGTTGAGATTTAACCTTGTTGGAAATTTACATCATCAACCAGTAACACAACTGGGCTGAATTCTGAAGCCTTTACAACCTGATTATAAATTATTCCACAAAAAGCACTGTTTTATATTTGTGTGTTTTTTAAAACTCTTCTTTACTGTGAGTTAGCGCTGTCTTGTTTGCGCTTTGTGTAGACGTAGCACTTAGTCTTAGTGTGATTATTCTCTCAGACCCTGAACTATTTGTCCTGTGGAAGTTTTTCATAGAGATTATAACACACTTCTGGATAAGGGACATCACCCAAATTCCGTAAAATGTAAATTTTGACGAAGGACGAACTCCAAACAGAAAGCAGACGAGGACTTTGTGATTAATTACAGGTCAGATGACTCCAGAGACGCAGGATTAAACTCTCTGATAACACACTGATCACATGACCAGATATTCCACTGAGACAAGTTTTCCAAACAGCACTGATAAACTCAGAATAAAAATACAGATTAAAAAATTATTTATGGAACAGTCTATTAAAAAAATCTGCAGAATTCTATAGTTGTATAATTTACAGCTAATTGAACGTTGCTCCATTTACACACACATCTGGGTGGTGATGTAGGTAATCATCTGAACCTATGAGAAGCACATAGACTACGCCGGAAAATATGCCGAGAACTGTTGTTCTTGTTATTATTGTTCTAGTTATTAGTCTTTTTTATTTTCTTCTTCTTTTTTCTTTACACTAATAACAAGAACAATAATATGAGAAGTTCAAAGAAGAAGACAGAAGCAATATAAAGAGAAGAAAAAGATGATGAAGAAGAAAAAGGATGAAACAAGAAGAAAGATGAAAGAAAAAAGGGAAGAAAACAGAAGATAGAAAGAGAAATACAAGAAGAGGAAGAAAGAGGAAAAAAGGAAGAAGCAGAAGTGGAAGAAAGAATAGAAGAACAATAAGAAGAAGGAAACAACAGGAAAGAAGAAATGGAAGATACGGTGAAGAGAAAGAAAGAAAGAAAGAAAGAAAGGGAAGGGAAAGGAAAAGAAGATGGGAGAAGAAAATTAATAAGAAAGAAAGAAAGATAGAAAGAAAGAAAGACAATGATAAAAGTTGTGTTTGTTGTTAGCTTAGTCTTGAATTTATTTACTTTATTTATTTACATGCTCAGTTTATTTATCAGCTCTCTAACACCCGAGGTCACTTTACAATCACATACACAAAGTAACATCATTACCAGAGAGAGAGAGAGAGAGAGAGAGAGAGAGAGGGATTTTAAGAACAACATTAAACATCAGCAACTTGAAATTTGTGGAAACATTCAGAAACTCTTTGTCTCTTTCATCATTTTATTGGAAGCTTGGTGAGGTTCTGAAGCTCCACACTGATGTGAGTGTAGATGACTTTGTGCCTTCTGTGATTGTTATAACGTTTTATTTAAATTATTTATATCCAGACTCCTGCTCTTATATTAGATCATTTCAGCTCATGAGACGTTCAGTGTGTGTGTGTGTGTGTGTGTGTGTGTGTGTGTGTGGAATTGATCCATCATTTCCCCGACATGTTTTTCGCCCCGCTTGTCTCCGGGTGCTGAAAATCTGGGTGTGAAAAATTGATGTGTTAACGAGACCATCGGCGTCAGTGCTGCTGCTGAAAATGAAAAAGCGTCTGAGGACGATTTCCTGCAGGACGATTCATCACTCATCCACACGGAGGGGAGAGAGAGAGAGGGAGAGAGAGGGAGAGAGAGGGAGAGAGAGAGAGATTTTAGATATTTTTAGAATATCAGACGAGTTTATTCATGGAATGAAGCAGGACACTGTCACTGACCCACTGCAAAACCTCATCAACACTGTGATGCTGTATATTATATATACACTCAGTTACCATCCTGATAATCCATTAAAGGTTCGAATTATTAATTTATAATAACAATAACAACGTTTTCAGAAACTCTAGTAAGGCTTCTAAATATCTAGCAAAGTTAATGAATAGAAGTAATATTCTTAATTCAGTTCTGGAGTGTAAAATACACACTCTTTCACTCACTATCACAGATTAGCTATGCTCTTAGGTGTGTGTGTGTGTGTGTGTGTGTGGAGCCCTGTGGTATACTGCCGTCCCATCCGGTGTGTCTTCCCGCCTCATGCCCAGTATTCCCGGGATAGACTCCACATCCAGGATAAAGTGTTTACTGAAGATGAATAAACAAATAAAGTGATTCAGAGACTTATGATGTCACAACACATTTATCAGTCATGAACACATTAATGACAGTGCTTTATTAGAGCTTTATGAGGCATTATAACCAAATTATGAATATATATATAAACACAGGTATAAATATTTAGAATCACAGGCTTCAGAGTTACTGTGTTTTACTGAAACATAAAGTTCATCCAATAAACAAAATCTGATGTACCAGGAAAAGGTGAAAATGAGAAGAAGAAAAAAAAGCAGAAAGAAGAAGGAGAATATGATGATAAAGAAGGAGTAGGTGAAGAAGAAGAAGATGATGATGATGATGATTGACACAAATTCCCTTCTCAGCCCATGCTGCGGCTCTCAGCACAAACAGACTTCTTCTGTATTTTATATTTTTGTTTATAACTGTGTGTGTTTTGTTGTGATTGTCTTCTCTTAATCCCTGTCTTGTCATTGGTTTATCTTCCTTGTGTTGATTGTGTTATGATTGTTCTCACTTGTTTTCTGATCATTCCTCATTAGTTTGTGTATTGTGCATTGTCCTGATGCAAAGTCTTGTCCATGTACTGTGCATTTCTGAGCCTTGTTTCAACAATGTTCCTCGTGTTTCCTGCATCTGATGGAGTTCTCCAGGCTCAAAATTTTTGGAGGAGGGCTACAGCCTACGGAACGCTCACAGGCAGTCGTCCCAGCCCAGGTTAGTCCAGCGAGAGGACTGGAGATACAGGGAGAATGAAGCCTGCACTGAGGCCTGTTCTGAGGCCTGTTCAGCCAAGCCCGATGCTGGTGTGTTGCCTCTCCAGTCAAACTTGAGGTCTATACCAAAACTTCTTGAGTCCAGCTCGAGGCCTGCAATAATGCTCCACCTCCTCCTGACTTCAGCAAGGATGTTGTCATCATTCCACCTCCTGCTGTCTTCACAGAGGACATCCTCGTCCCTCTGTCTGATGCCTGTTGTGACCAGGCAGTGTGCTGGTTTCATGAGTCTTTTTGCCTGGCTGTTCTGTGTCCACCTCCCGGCTTCACAAATATTGCTCCTCCTCATCCTAGCTTCACAGAGGACATTGCTCTGCCTCGCCCCAACTCCGCTTCATAAAAACCATGTTGATGTTATGCACTTGTGTCCTGCCTCTAACACACAATTTTCATTACAATGATAACATACAACAATAACAATAACAACAAAAGACAAAGAATAAGATGAAGAAGAAAAAGAAGAAAGGGCAGAAGTTGAAGAAGACGAAGTGGTGGAAGAAGAAAGAAAGAAAGAAAGAAGGAAGAAGAAGAAGAAGAAGAAGAAGAAGAAAAGGAAGAAGAGAAAAAGAAGAAGGTAAACATCTCTCCTCAGCTGACAGTGGGTGAAAGATGATGATCAGTTTTGCTTTGTTTCTGCTGTAATTTCTGCTCGGAGTAGAGAATTTTGACAGTAGATCTGTTAGTGCGACAGAAACAGCAGTGACATTCCCCCAATATCTTTATATATCAATATTTTTATTGATTATAAAACATGTCTTCACTAAATGAACACTCCTAAAGGAACATCTACCCTTCACTGTATACTGTGAACAACATCCAGGAGAGATGCTGGAGCCGTTTCTGCTCCTGAACTACAGAAATACTGACTTCATTTTATACTGCACTCATTATATCATTAACATGCAGCATGAAGCTTCACAACAGGAAGGAAAAAAATCAACAAAATGTCACTGAATAACCAATAAAAGCAACTGAAAAAAGAATTATATTAATTAGGTATTGGCTGAGAAATCATAAAATGAATTGATTACTTTCATTGCAGGAAATAACATCTTTTTTTATTAAAATAATTTTATTATTCATTATTAAAGAAATGGAGCCAGGTTCAAAATCTGTTTAGATGTTATACTGTATAGTAAGACTAATGATAGTTGCCTTGAGTGGCCCCATATGGACGGCCTGAAGAACTGTTTGGATTGCTGGGGATGGTGCCACCTGGGGGCTGTGGAGATGGCTTGGGGATCACATATGGGGAGCTGTACTGTAATGGCTTGGGACTGCGATTGCTGTAGTGGCTTTGGGGCTGCAGTTGCCACGAGCACCTTCCTACTCAGGACTCCATCAGTGGACAGTGGATAGATTTTGACCAACCGGACTTCTTGCGAAAACTGTGATGAATTTATTGGTTGAACAATTGCACTATTTGTCCATATAGTACACAATAGAAGGGATTTATTTATAATCGCACTATCCGTTACACCCAGATGAGGATGGGTTCCCTTTTGAGCCTGGTTCCTCTCAAGGTTTCTTCCTCATATCATCTCAGGGAATTTTTCCTTGCCACCGTCGCCTCTGACTCACTCATTAGGGATAAATTCACATATTTACTATATATCTTTTTTTGTGAATCCATTTATTTCTGTAAAGCTGCTTTGTGACAATGTCCATTGTTAAAAGCGCTATACAAATAAAATTGAATTGAATTGAATTGAGACAGGATAGAACTGAACAGTTGAGGTTAGGGGCTCAAGGACCCAACTGTGGAAGCTGGGATTTGAACTCACAACCTTCTGATCGGCTTAACCACAAACACTAGACAAACCTGTCTACAGTAGTTCTAGTTATACCACAAGGTTAAATGACACTGTATCCACAAGAGTTTTTGGATGAATCCAAGGTTTTTAGTTTACAAATCTTAAAGCTCCCATGAGAATTGAACTTGCAACCCTTTGGTTTACAAGACTACTTCTTTAACCACTGAGCTAGGGAGCCTTAACCTTAAGTTCCACATTGAGCTCCAAATTACTCCAGAAGAGGCAAGGACCACTCAAGGTCACACAACAAGTTGGGGACGTCAACAATGAGGTAAACAAACAGATAGAAGTATTCAGTTCTACAAATTTTACAACAATCTCCTACAACCTCAACCTCCTACAATGAAGTGAAATTCTTTTCTTCACATATCTTAGTTAGTTGGGGTCAGGGTGCAGGGTCAGTTATGAGATGGCGTCCCTGGAGAAGATGGGTTTAAGGGTCTTGATCAAGGGCCCAACAGTGGCAGCTTGGCTCTGATCAGTAACCCAGTACATTAACCACTAAGCCACAACTCAGAGGGAGGCAGAAAGGAGTTCCTCTGCCAAAGGAGGAAGTAGGTCTGGAGGTCAACCAAAAGTGGCTCAATCCACCCTAATCTCATATGGAGATCTCTTCTCCTCTCCTTGTCCCAGAGAGCAGATGTTGCCTAGTTGCAAACAGAGTTATGTGATGAGTTGTTGCCTCTTCCTGGTCCCACATAGAGACACCTCCCCAGTGTGGTTCTGCAGAGCCCTCCTAGCATTTGCCTGAACACAAAAAACAATTATTTTGGGAGGAGCTCAGGCCATGCTTGGCATTGGGGTTATCATGGATGCACAGTGGAATGCCAGCCATGTAGTCCTTGTGACCAAGAAGGATGGGGCTCTCTGTTACTGCATAGACTTTAGAAAAGTTAATGTCGAAATTTGATGTATATCTAATACCACACATTGAGAAACTGCTTGATTGGTTAGGTATATCTTACTTTTAATAGATACCTAAGGTATCTTGGCAGACTGACTTGTCTACCATGTCCAACAAAAAGATGTCCTTTTCCGCTCTGTTAGGGGTATGCAAATTTGTCACCATTTCTTTCAGTTTGTTTAAGGCCCCCACCATGTTCCAAAGCCTCATGGACAGAATCCTTCACCCTCACAGGGCATGCATACATGGATGATATAATTATATAATTATTAATAGCAATGATTGGCAGTGGCTCATGCAGCATTTGAGATTGGTCCTGAGATTCTTGAGGTGGACTGGGACTCATGGCAAACCTGAAGAAGTGTGCAGTTGGATGGATGGAAGCACAATATCTGTCTTCCCACTTGGGATATGGACAGGTGCATCTCCACATTGATGAGTCATTAATTGATAATTGATCATGTCAGTAACTGGGCCTGATGGACACCCAAGTCCAAAAAGGAGGGGAAGTAGTGTTGTGTTGTGGTGGACATTATCACTGGTTTGTGCCTCATTATTTGGGCATCAACAGCCCCTTGACTGACTTCACTGAAAAGGAAGCAGCAGATCCAGAATTGTGCCAAGAGGACTTCATCCAGGTAAAATCTGCTCTTTGCTGAAGACTGCTCTTTCATTCCTTGCAAGAGAGTTTCTCTTTCAGAAAGGGTCCCAAGTAGAACCTATGTAACAAGCTAGGAACCATAAACCATCCAAAGATCCCTTGAGAAACCCTTGTTCTGAGAGTGTGTATATACAGCATGTTCTCTTTTCTCTCTCTCCTCACCTTTCTCTGTCTCTCTCTCTCTCCATCTTGTTATCCCTCACCCCCTCCCCGTCTCCATCTGTCTCTCTGAATCTCTTTATCTTTCACCCTCCACCCCTCCCCCGTTCTCTCTCTCGCTCTCTCTCTCTCTCTTGTTCCCTCCTCGCTGTTCTGTGTTGTTGATCTGCATCATGGCTCTGTTGCTTCTCATCCTCCGTTAATCACAGCTTTGTCTCTCTGTTGTTGGACTTTGATCTCTCCATCTCTTCCTCTTTTACCTGTTGGGCTTCTGCTCTCTCTGTTCATCATGGATCTGTCCTTCATGGCAGCGCAGGTAACTAGCATGATGTCTTTATTCTGGTATATTTACACTAAAGCTCACATGTAAACGCTAACAGAGAGCTAATTGAAAATAACTTCATATCTGATTTACATTTCATGTAAAAACGAGATGAGTCTGAACACCGGTTTGCTCGTGAACAGCAGGAATATAGGCAGACCGAGAAACTCTGAGTAACTCAGATTTAGATTCAGTTCAAAGATTCAAGAGTTTATTGTCATTGTCTTGGACAACATAATTACAGTTATGCTTCAAACAATGCCATCTTAACATATGTGTGTGTGTGTGTGTGTGTGTACCTCGCTGTTATTTAATAATTATACATTTTTTATTATAATAAAATTTCAAGGTTCAAGGTTCAAGGTTCATTTATTTGTCATTCAACATGTTAAAAACATGAAAGAATGAAAACAGTTTCCCAGGTCCACCGTTAAAAAAAGATAATAATAAATAAATAACATAAATAATAAATAATGCTTTGTTTTAGCTGAGTATTGCATAGGTTTAATAATAATAATAATAATAATAATAATAATAATAATAATCAGCATCACAAACCATTTGCATAATCTGGTTCTGAAAGTAGCCATTAAAAAAAAAAAAAGGCAATTTGTTCCAAGCATTTATTCATCTTCTTATTTATGAATGAATAAGAGACTTGATGATGTAAGCATTGTGGGCGTGGCTAATGAAATGTCTGGCCAGGTTTAGAGAAACCAGGTGAAGGTTTTTTACCTCAGATTAATAAATAATCTCTCTCTGATGTCTGTCTATCATCAGGCCTCAACATGCTGAGCCATTTATAGTTACATTTAATGTTGTAGAAGGTCCACACAACAAGTTAGTTCCTGTTCTCACTTACGTTATAGCAGCTATAAACAGTCTTTCCCTCACCAGAGCCTCTATTTTTCTCTCACTTGAAGTTAAAAAGACATGTTAAATGTTCCTGAGAAACAGCAAAGAAGCGTAAACTCCTCTGTCCTGAAGATGTCAAAAAACTTAAAGTCACAAAGCACATGAACATTAATGACATCAGTGCAGCACAGCGACTTGTTGCCATGGCAGCAGAACAGAGAGAGTCCTTAAGGAGAAGAAGAGCATGTATCGTATTGCATTTAATGTTCTGTGTGATAAATACATAAATGCATATTTAACACCAGCTGCAGAACAGTGTGTGTCTGTGACGTGATGGAAACCATGGAGACTGTTACAGCTCTCTACAGGTCTCTACTGGTTTCAGCTGCATTTATGATGGTTTGTGTAGGATGCTGGAAAAGGCTCCTCGGAGATGTTCTGGATAATTAAGGGTTCTGTACTTCCTAAATGGTTCCACTTGTAACCCTTTCTGATACGAAAACTGCTGTAGGGTTCTCGGTAGAGTCTTTAAGACATATTTTCAGTTCTAGAAATCATTCTATTCCTAAGGGTGTATTTACTTTTTGTACTTTAATTTAATGCATGAAATAAGGTTTCTGTGTAGAACCCTACATCAGAGGGTCTAATTTATAGAAGTAGAACCCATTTAGCAAGCTAAACATCACTCACCATCAAAAGAACCCTTGTGGAACCTTTTTATCTGACAGTAAAGATGTTTCCAACGCTTTATAAGGTTTGTAATAGTTTCTGATGGATTGTAGTGGTTTATAATGGTTTATAATAATTTATAATGGTTTATAATAATTTGTGATGGTCTGTAATGGTTTGTGATGATTTGTAATGGTTTATAATGGTTTATGATGGTTTGGGATGGTCTGTAATGGTTTGTAATGGTTTATAATGGTTTGTGATGGATTATAATGGTTTGTGATGGTCTGTAATGGTTTGTGATGGTCTGTAATGGTTTGTCGTGGTTTGTGATGGTAGTCTGTGGATTGATATCAACATAAAGTGTCCTGATGGTGTAACTGGTGATGTTTGATGGTTGAGGTCTGCTGTGATTCAGCAGGAGTCTGATGGTGAGCATCTAGTAATAAACTGTGCTTTAATGGACCTAACGGACTTCTGTGTTATTCATCCATTAAAATTCATACAGTTAATGTAACTTACAGTCTGATTCTGTAACTGATCCTGCTGGGAAAAGTTTTACTGGAAACCATTAGAGCAATTCCCATTAAGAAGTAAAACAATATCTCGGATTTTTTTCCAGCTATTATATTTCTCCTTTAATGTGGATAATTTTCCTTTTATTTATTTATTTATTTATTTATTTATTTTCTGCTAATTTGGTCACATGAGCGCGGTTTTATGGTATAACATTATGACACAATTTTCATTAATAAATTATTAATCTCTATGCAAAAATAATCTACAAAAAAGTCCAATTTTATTCTCTGTAATAAGTATAAAACACGTGTTAGGATTTTACACATATTATTATACGCATGTTTAAAGTTTTAGTACAGATCCATTTTGAATCTGATGTGTCATGTTTCCTAAATATTTGGTTTTAGCCATTTCTGAGTACATGTAGTATGCAAAAATATGCAAATTTATACAAATGAGCTTGGGCACTGTAGGATTTTCTGGAAAATGTGTTGCCAAACAAACAAACAAACAAATAAACACATACATATTGTGCTATATATAATAATATATAAATGTAATTTTTGATATAATAGTTAATATTATAATATCTTTACTTTCTTCTGTCAGTGAAACCATTTTATATCAGACAAATGGTTTATTTAGAAGATTCCCCTTCCTACAGAGTGTGTGTGTGTGTCTGTGTGTGTGACAGCAACAGCTGCTTCGCATATCAACTATTCAATATTAATTAAGGCTTGTTATCATGCTGAGCTTCTTCTCACAAACCCAAAGTGCTGAATTCAAACCTGAAAAAGACTTTATGGTGGTTTTGTATAGAATGTGTGCTGTATGCTACATGCTATTGTACACAGCCATGTGACCCGTCACTCAAACGCAATGTGGGCGGAGCTCCAGTAAAATAACGTTAAACTGCTTTGTTTCTGTAAAGAGATTTTTTTTATTTATTGGATGAATTTAATGTGACCCAAAACATGATGCCATAATGTGATGTGATGTGAAGAGAAAAGCTTTAAGCAGCCAAACCCTGCTTTAGCCTCCATTTACATAAAGAATTAGATTTCTAATAAATTTCTAGTTTTGATGGTT